CACCACCCATGACTGCCTTCTGGTATCCCCAAGGATCACTAACTAGAGACAGGCAGAACTAGATGCTCCCAAACATACCTTACAGCACTCATACCTGCATTCACTTGCTCTATGAGATTCTTCTAAAATTGAAATGCACAAATGACAATGAATAAGAAACACACAAATTCTTTTCCACATTCCCACCCTAATCTTTGGGACTTAAATTTTCAACCTAGGTGGCCTATAAACTTCTTTGAAAGGCAATCCAAAGCTTGTAACAACTTTTGCAATGGTTTCTAAAAGAAGGTTCTCATGACTTAATGATCTTGAAAACATTGCTGTCTTTATAATAAATATATGACTGAAGAAAAAGATAAATCTCAAATTAAATGAACACCTTACATCAAATCCCCTTTGTGATTAAAAAAAATCAGATACAAGTTGATTGAAGATGGGAAGCCGTATTTTGAAGATAGTTTCAGAAAGACAGCAAATAATGATACACTCAGTTCTTAAAGAATGATTAGAAAGAAATTTTAAAAGACAATGTGGCATCATCAAAATTCTGCACCATGGCTTCAGCCCACCTAATTCATGCCTTTGTAAAAGGAGTGAGAGAGGCCCAGCACATCACTTTTGGAAGGCTTACATTTATGGAAAACACATGGGATTTAGAGCCAGCTGGATCTGGATTTGAATCCCAGCTCTGCAGTTTTCTAAGAATGTGGTCTTGTGAGTTATTTAATCTCACAAAGCCTCAGTTTCTGCATCTGCTAAAATGGTTAACCCTCCTTGCAGGGTTATTGTAAGGGTAAAGCTAATTCCAAGCTAATAACATGCTTGGCACAGGGTAGGTTCTCAATAAAGTGTGGCTAATAACAACAAGAAGAACAATGGTATTAATAAAAACAAATAAATACTTCCAAGAGCAGAAGGAACGTGTAAGTGTGGTGGTTAAAAGCATGGGTTTGGAGTCAGATGACCTTGGTTTTAATTCTGGCTTTCCTTTTCTTGTAGAATTCACATCATATTTAATAAAGTTGTTCTCAGTCGATCACTTTTCTCTCATAACATAAAACCCATATGACTTGACTTTGCTATTACAGGCTCTTCCTGTGAGCAAGTTGATTACCTTCTTTTTGTACCAGTTACCATATCTGCAAAATGGGGCTAACAATAGCATCTACCAAATATGCTTGTGGTTCAAATCATGTCTGATGCTGACACATTATAAGAACTCAATAAATGCTAGCTGTTGCTGCTGTTATTTTAGTCACTGCCTGAAGAACATTATAGAACCAGGACCAGCCACCTGGAATAAAATTGCTCACCTATACTGTTGATTCACAAATTGCAAATACAAGAGTATGAAAACTCCTGAGGATAGCAAACAGTATTTTAGAGTAACACCTGGAATAATAAAACATTAGAAGTTATCTCAATGGCAAAATCAAAATCAGACTACAGACTACAAGGAGGTCTGACCAATCAACTGGTAATCCTCGTGGGGACACAGGAGTATATGATTGCCACTGATTTCCAAACTCAAAGCCAAAGTTTTTTTTAAGGTGGTAAAGAACAATGAGACAAGGGGAATATATTTTGCCTCCCTTCTTTCCCCCAAAATATATTATTCACCACCCCAATCCCTGGCCCCAGTACCTTGCCATTTAACTAAATCTTTTTACAAAGGTCAGAAAAGCAGAACTAATCCCACTGCGTTCCCAGCATACTACTTAAAAAACTCAGCCACCTAGCAAATGTAATTTAAAAAGGGCTGCTGTACCTATAACCCATCCAAAAAACAGCTACCCAACCAGAGCATTCCAATTGGCAAAAATGACATATAATCCTGCTGTTTTGGGTGTGGCTCTACAGAGAGGGATGAAGGGGCTGGGATTCTAAGTGCTGTCTCCAGCATCTCACAGATTAGACATCTGAACCAGGGTGAAGAACAGGACGCCCTAACAGCTGTCTGTCCTCCAAGACCTCTAAATCACCCACTTCTTTGCCCAGAGCCAGATAAGGAAGCAGCAGCTCAGTAGACGTCTCCAGGAAAAGCAGCAGGGATGAACTTGAAAGACTCCATTTCATGATATGAGGTGAGAAACAAGAGGCATGTTTTCCCACAATCTCAAGAACAGTAACTTCAGCAGCCACTTCATTATATTTCTACTGTAAATGATACAGGCCTGAGCCATGTCAGCACCAAAGCTCCCTTCAGAATTCAGTCGGTGTTAGGTCATCTGTACTCTATTGACAACTGCTGAACTCAAAACCCCTAACGAGGCATCTCAGCAATAAGATGTGTCCTGCCACTAATGAGGCTCTTTTTCCATGAATAATGAACAAGAACATCATCTCTGTTGCCAGGTATACAACATAAACAAAGCTCAACACAAGAGCCTTGGTATGGTGAGTTTGTCCATTTGCAACAAAGGAATTTTTCAAAGTGTGAGCCAAGTTTTAGCAGAGGGTGTGACGGGCTGTTGTAACAAATAATGTGAACATATGTTATCAGAATCTAATAAATCAGCTTTTGGTTGTTGTGGAACAGAGGCTGTGCAATGGGATAGTTAGAGACAATGGAGAGTTCCATTACAATAATAAAGAAATGCTTTCTGTAATGAACTGAGATCTTCATGAAAAGAGCCTTAAGAGGCTTGCCATCCCAAAGGCTCTACTCATTAAAGTTTTATTTCTTAAGGCTTGATATGTCAGATTGAGTACAGGTCAGCATTAGGAATTGCTAAGGCATTGATGGTTACAGAGTGGCATTTGGAAAAGTACACTGCCACTTGAACCCATGGCCCTGGGACTGAATTCCTTTGGTACTAAAAGAATGCTAACGTATGAGGATTTTGCCTACCAGGCAGCCCAACAGTTTAGGTCCTAAACTTGGACCACTGTTTAGCCAAACAGTGAGTGAGATTTTGGCATATAAACAGAGAATACAAGTGAGCTGACATGAAAGCCAAACAGTCTTTATTTTGTTTACTTTAAAGTGTTCCACAGATACTTTTCTCTATTTCTAAAATCAGTTCCATACTAGGTGGCATATATCTTGTTACACAGGGTACTTATACTTTTCTCTATTTCTAAAATCAGTTCCATACTAGGTAGCATATATCTTGTTACACAGGGTACTTATACTTTTCTTTATTTCTAAAATCAGTTCCATACTAGGTGGCATATATCTTGTTACACAGGGTACTTATGTCTGCACAGGCAAAATGATGCCATCATTGGCTGAAGGCTTTTAGTTTCCATAAATTTGAGCAAGATTTTGAAGAAAAGGAAACAAAAACAAAAACAATCTCATAATGGCTAAGTTCCCCCAACTACAGAAGATAACAACTCTCACCCATTTCAGAGATTCCTTATGAAGAATTGTGTCAAAAATGAGACCCAACAGCCAGGTGTGGTGGCTCATGCCTGTACTCCCAGTGCTTTGGGAGGCCAAGGTGGGAAGTTCACTTCATGCCAGGAGTTTGAGACCAGCCTGGGTAACGTAATGATAACCCGTCTCTACAAAAAAATTAAAAATTATCCAGGCATGATGGCACACTCCTGTAGTCCTTGGGAGACTGAGGTGGGAGGATGGCTAGAGCCCAAGAGTTCAAGGTTATAGTGAACTATGATCACACCACTATATTCCTTCTGGGGTGACAGAGGAAGACCCTATCCCTAAAAAAACCAAAACCCCAAATGGTATAGTTTGCTCTATATGCTCTGTGATCTGAATAATTCTCTTTTTTTTTTTTTTTTTTTTT